CACATGGTATCACCATGAGTTGGAGTCATTTCCATGGCAACTGACTATCCCAAATTAACTCAATTCAGGCTTTTTTTTTTTTTTTTTATTGTTTCTTTCTTTAGAAATGGTTAAAGACTACTCTCTTATACTAAAATAATCCCATTAATGTTTGCCTGGCATCACTGATGGGTGAAACACGAAGCTTTCACAGTCCGGCCTCCTGGTCCTATAGAGAGGATTCAGAGTGCAGGGACATGCAGGCAGCTACTGCTTCCTACACAGAAACAGTCATGGAAAGCGTGATTCCTTCTAGCTAAGCCTTGGGGCATATGTGGATTTCCTGTCCACAGGCTGCTTAATCCCCATGGCGTTAGCAAAATCTTGATGAAATTTATATGAGAATATGTCACTTGATTACATTTTCTAACCATTTTGTCATTTTTTCATAGTTTTGTTTGTATGGAAAGTCATAACTTATTCCGAACCTTATTGCCGTCGAGTCAATTCTGACACATAGCAACCCTATAGGACAGAGTAGAACTGTCCCGTAGGGTTTCGAGGGAGCGGCTGGTGTACTCGAACTGTCAACCTTTTGGTTCACAGCTGAGCTCTTAAATAAACTGCACCACCAGGATTCCTCATAACTTATTAAATGTGTATAAAGACTAGAATGTGCAATTTTGCAATCTTAGCTCTACAGAAGGAGTGTAGTTTTATGTCTCTAAAGGTCACAGGGTTTGCTGTCAGCGGAAGCAGGTTTTAAGTATTTGCATTATTACCATTTAGCTCTCTATGACTTTGGGACAGTTTCTTGAGCTCTCTGGGGTTAAAAGCATGGGTAGTGGTTCAAGCTGTCTGCTTTCAAAACCTGACCCGGCCACTTGCTAGCCCTGTGGCTATGGGCAAATTTTGAAGCCTCGTTTTCTTCCTTTGTACCATTTGTGCAACTCTTCCATGAGACTGAAATTATCTCAAATAAAAAACTAAAAGGTATATCTTGTTTTTAAAAGAGGGTCAGTATGCTCATGAAAGAAACTTTTCTTCGCTCAGCCCTGGGAAGAACATGCCATCTTCAACTTTCTTCAGTTAAAGAGAGGCAAAACGTTCTAAAGTTGTGTTCTCTTTATCAAAGAAGTCCTGCCTTTTGCTATTTTTCAAACTAGAGAGAAACTTTGTAGTTAGTCTCAGATGTCTCCAAATATTTGAAAGATCTTAGATTTTTAGTACAAATTAAAAATCTGCTTCAATTTCTTGATTAATGTACATTCAGTAATCAGGGACACACATACAGACATTTTATTTTATCTGTTTATTTTTTTAATCCATATGCCTTTAGTTTTTAAAATTTATTTTGTTGTTGTTGGGAATATACATAGCAAAAACATACACCAATTCAATGGTTTCTGCAAGTACAGTTCTGTGCTATTGATTACATTCTTTGAATTGTGCATACATTCTCACCCTCCTTTTCTGAGTGTTCCTTCCTCATTAACATAAAATCACTGCCCCCCCCTCAGGTTCCTATCTAATCTTTCGAGTTGCTGTTGTCAATTTGATCCCATACAGATAGTTCTTAACAGAGCATAATGCTTAAGACAGACATTTTTACTAGTTAAGCTAAACTATTGGATGGTTTTAAGAAGATTTCAGGGGATATTTTTGGTTTAAGGTTTAAAGATTATCTCAAGGTACACACAGTTTTATTTTTAATTTTCTTGGCAGCTGTTATCTTCAAGCCATTTTGCAAATATAGGAAATTCCTAATTTTCACAAGGACGCATAAAGTGGTGGGCGTGCTATGTCTGTGTCTGTTCTCTTTTCTCATTTCCCCATGTCTCTTTGTAATAGCTGATTTTTCTTCATCAAATCTGAACATTGGAAGAGTCATTTACATGGAAATTTTCCAGTTCTGACATGTTAATTATTTACTATCATTGGAGAACATCTTTTCCCACCTTTCGCACCAATACAGCCCAAAACATTTATGTTAGGCTTGAATCTACAGTAGCAGTTGTCTGTTATTTACTGTGGAAGCTCTTACCTAAGATATTAACATAAGACAAAATTTTGAACACTTACATTTATAATATTGAAGCCCTGGATTTGCCCAAGGATTTTTTAAATGTACTTTGAAGAATGTAAAACAAAAACAATCTACCACAAACTGATTTTTAGATATTCCCTCCGTATTACAGAACTTGACATTTTGTACCTATGATTTAGTAAGATACTTTCCTTTAACAGTCCTGCTGGCGCAGTGGTTAAGAGCTTGGCTGTTAACTGAAAGGTTGGCGGTTTCAAACCCACCAGCCGCTCTGCAGGAGAAAGATGTGGCAGCCTGCTTCCATAAAGATTAGAGCTTTGGAAACCCTATGGGGCGGGGTTCTGTTCTGTCCTATAGGGTTGCTATGAGTTGGAATCAACTCAACAGCCACGGGTTTGTTTTCCTTTAACAGGAATAAAGCATATTTCGCAATTTTGTGTATTGCTATTTTCTACAAAGTTTCATTTTAAAGATGTTAATGTATGGGGCAAGAGTGATCATATTGTAGAATTAGGGGAAAAGTTATGGACAAAAATTGAACCTCAGACATGCAAGATGGAAATAATTCCTTTTTACAAATGAACATATGTGTTAGCAAGATGCTCTACACACACACACACATACACACACTCACATATTAGATTATGGTAACCAAAAAAAGTTTATGTTCTTTGTGGGGATTCTTTTTCCTTCTTTCTTTTTTTTATTATGCTTTAGATGAAATTTTATAGAGCAAATTAGTTTCCCATTAAACAATTAATACACATTGTTTTGTGACATTGGTTGCCAATCCCGCGATGTGTCAACACTCTCCCCTTATTGACCTTGGGTTCCCCATTTCCGTTTGTCCAGCTTTCCTGTCCCCTCCTGCCTTCTCATCCTTGCCCCTGGGCTGGTGTGCCCATTTGGTCTTGTATACATGGTTAAGCTACGTATATCATTGTTTTATGGGCCTGTCTAATCTTTGACTGAAGGGTGAACCTCAGGAGTGACTTCAGCACTGAGTTAAAAGGGTGTCCAGGGGCCATACTCTCGGGATTTTTCTAGTCTCTGTCAGACCAGTAAGTCTGGTCTTTTTGTGTGAGTTAGAATTTTGTTCTACATTTTTCTCCAGCTCTGTCTGGGACCCTCTATTGTGATCTTCATGGTAAGGGATTGTTGAAAAACACAAGAAAATCTATCTGTAAGGACATTTAAGTAGAGCAAAATCTGTGAATATGGGGCATTGATTAAGTTGGATTTATTGGAGTAAGCTGACATACATGAATGACAGGTAGAAGGACAACTCAATCTGTCCTGCAGTTTTGATGAGAAGCCTCTCACTCTGACTTTTTAGTGCTCGGTTTAGTAAGAAATCAAATTGATAACAAGGGAAATAGACTACTTCACATTACTATTTACATTTGCTAAATTCAGATGTGTTGGAAGTGTAAGAGATTTTGGAAACAAGAGAGAGAAGTCTGAGACTTCTAAATCTGAATTTTGATTAAAAAAATTAATCTTCAAAGAGCACTGATGATTCTGGAGAATAATTTTGTGAGGAAGGCTGTAAAAATGGCAGGGCGGGGGCATCTGACCTCCTCGTCTAACTTCACAAAGGGAAGGAGAGAGAATTACCATCAGCACCAGCCCAAAGCTGATTCCTGTGAAGTGGTGGTCAGATATACCTCCTCTCTCCAACTTTTTTACCAATTCTCACATCAACTGTTCCTCCCAGGGCACTCTCTACTCCTCTGCTGGGTTCGATAATTTGTTGCAATGGCCACGCAGAACTCATAGACAATACTCACAATTATGGGGTTTATTAGGGAAGTAGCAGGTTACAATTTAGGATCAGAAACAACTCAGGATACAGTTCTTCAATCAGGACAGCCTCTTCTTAGTTGTGCCTGCAGTCAGGCCTCCCTTGGCCCCTTGGCCCCTCAACCCCTTGGCCCCTCAGGCCCCTTGAGCTGGCCCAGCCTCTGCCCTGTTTGGGCAAGTGTTACGAAGTTCTTTAGCACCACCAATAAGTGCCCAGAAGCACCCTACTCTGCCAGCAAGCCTCCTGCCTGAAGGCACTCAGCTTTCTTGCCCATGGACCGGGAAGCCCACCCATCTGTCTCTTGCTGGTCTCCTGGTTCTGATGCCTGTGCTGTCGCCATTTCCCTGCTGCTGCTTTTCGCTGTCTGTGGTGTTACACCTCTCTCTCTGTCTCATCTCCTGGGTCTAGGAGGTTCTCGGCATAGGGATCTTGGGTCCAAAGGATGGGCTCCATTTCTAGCTCTCCTTCTTGGTGGTAGTGGGTCATCGCCCCCCCCCCCCACTTCTCTCTACTTTTATCTCTTGTAAGATGAAAGATGTGACTCAAGTAAAGGCTTGTCTTGAATAAGGGTGGTACGGATGGCGACTGGGGTAAGGGTGGTGACTTGAGTCACACCTTCTGGTAAGGTGGTGAATCAAGATACATCCCCCTCAGTCTTGCTTAATTAACATAACAGACAGCTCACTCCCAAATAGGACCATAACCACAGACGTAGAGGCTAGGATTTATTACACATCACAAAATGGAGGATAATCACATCAGATCACAAAATAGAAGATGACTACATCATTACATAACTGCCACATTACATTATTACATAACTGCCAAACCACTGAAAATCATGACCCAGCCAAGTTGACACATAACCTTAACCATCACAGGTTCTATACACCTTATTTGCATTAGCAACAAGCTGTCCAATCCCCTTGGTGGGCCACAAGCCCCTTTTTTTTGCATACTCCCACCCAATCATTGTGTGGGAATCACAAAGACTATGGCTAGAAGGGCTACATTAAGTAATTCACTGCACTGCAAAGGCGTATAAATGAATGACATCCAGTGGTTATTCAGTTACAAAAACTTATTGTTAGAGATTGTGAGGTTTTGACTGCGAAAACTACAGGATTAGCAACAAATCCTCGATGATGAGATTTTGTCTGTTTTCCTTCTTAATAGGTAAATATTGTACCATTGATTGCCAAAGCAGATACCATTTCAAAAAATGATTTACAGAAGTTTAAGAATAATATAATGAATGAATTGGTTGACAATGGCATCCAGCTATACCAGTTCCCAGAAGATGATGAAACTACTGCTCACATGAACTCATCATTGAAGGTAAGTGTCTGCGTGTTCTGTTGAGTAGGCATTCTGTACTACCTGCAGAAATGGAAATACAGTTTATAAGTAACAATGTTATGATAAACAGACTATAAGCAAGGTAATATTATTTTAAAATCCAGTGTGGGAAAATGTTTTATTTTCCTGATTTTGAAAAATGTCTGCTGAGAATCACTTCTTAAACATGTCTTTATTCCTCCCCCCTGTTCTCAAATAAAAGGACACGTTTGTGATCCTTGGATACACTTTAAGTGGGAACATGCTTAATCGCTTTAGAAATGTATATTTTTATTCTTTTACTTTAAATATGGGAGACTTGACAGGCTCCTATGGAAGACATTAGAATCCTAAAATCTTTCAGTCAAGAAGATCTTTCTAGTTAGGGATTTAGGCTTGCTTTCTCTTTCAGTGTCTTAATTGTAACCATAATACTTGTACATACTAAGCATTCAAATGACATTTAAAAATTTTTACCTTTTAATTTTGAGATAATTGCAGACTCGTATTCAATTGTAAAAAATAATACAGAGAGATCCTATGTACTTACCCAGTGTCTCCCTATGGTAACATCTTGCAAAACTATAGTATAATATCATAACCAGGGTATTGACATTGGTACAGTCAAGATACAGAACATTTCTATCACCACAGGATCCTTCATGTTGCCCTTTTATAGCCACATGTACTTTCTACCTCCCTCCTCAGCGCTTCTTAACCTCTGGCAACCACTAATCTGTTCTCCATTTCTTTAATTATGTCATGTCAAGAATGTCATATTAATGGAAACTTTTGGGGTTGGCTTTACTCAGCATAATTCACTGGAGATTTATCGAAGTTGTTATATATGTCAATAGTTCATTTCTTATAATTGCTGAGTAGCATTCCACGGAATAGATATACCAGAGTTTATGTAACTGTTTACTTGTTGAAGGACATCTGGGTTGTTTCTGATTTGAGGCCTGTAAAAATTGTGTGGGGGTGGTGTCTGACCTCCTCTAACTTCACAAGGGGGAAGGAGAATCCAGATCAACAGCCCAAGCCTGATTTCTACGAGGAGAGGTCAGACATGCCTCCTCTCTACGCCATCTTTACCAATTCTGACACCAACCGTCCTTCCCACGGCACTCTGTACTTCTCTGCTGAGTTCAGTAACTCATTGCAATGGTCACACAGAACTCACAGAAAATACTCACGATTATGAGGTTTATTAGGGAAGTAATAGGTTACAATTCAGGTTCAGGAATGCTCAAGATACAGTTCTTCCATCAGGACAGCCTTTTCCCAGCCATACCCACAGGGCCATCTCTCTCTAGCCCCTTGGCCTCTGCCCTGCTCAGGGAAGTGTTACAAAGCTCTTTTAGCTTTGCAGATAAGTGCCCTGAGGCACCCAACTCTGCCAATAAACCTCGACACAAAGGTGCTCAGCCCTAGCTCCATGGATTGGCAAACCTAGCTCCACCAAGTGCCCGGAAGCACCTACTCCTCCAGCAAGCCTCCTGCCTGAAGGCACCCAGCTTTCTTGCTCTGTGGGCCAGGAAGCCCACTGCACCGTCTCCTGCAGGTGTCTCCCGCTGTTCTCTCCTGCTGCCATTTCTCTGCCACTGCTTCTTGCCGTCTTCAATGTTACAGCTCTCTTTCTCTCTCTCTACCTCTCAGTCTTCTGGTTCCAGGAGCTTCTCAGCAACAGGGATCATGGGTTCAAAGGACGAGCTCCACTCCTGCCTCTTCTTTCTTGATGGTTATGATGTTCTCTTCTTCCTGCCTCTGGGATGGCTCTTTTTAAGCCTAACAGGATGGCAAAACTGACCAGTTCCTTCATTAGGGTTCCATAGACCTTACTTGCATGATCCCATGCACACACGGTGCCATGAACTTTATTTGCATTATCAGTAAGCTATCCAATCACCTTGGTGGGCCACAGTTACCTTATTTGTGTAGTCCCACCCAATCACTTGGGTGCGAGTTACAAAACCATGGCGAGAAAGGCCATATAAAAGCTATCCATTGCACTGCAGGGCCATTACAAATAAAGGTGCTATGAACATTCGTGTATAGATTTTTTGTGTATTAAAAATCTTTCCTCTTTGATTTCCCCATGGCAGGGTGCTTTGCTTTAGAGTCTGTTCAGTAGATAGTTTTCAGTTGTGTGCGTGACCTGAGACCAATGCTTAGAGAATCAGTTAGCACATGTTCACTGCCAAGTCTTAACATCTGAGGCAGGACAGAGCTCTCCTTTGAGTAAATTTATGATGGTAGTCTCATCTCCGGGATTTCTTATTTTTAGAGTAAGCCATAGTGGTGTAAGGAAAGGTGATTAATATTATTGTTACTTTCCAGAGACATTTACCCTTTGCTGTGGTAGGGAGCATGGATGAGGTGAAAGTTGGAAAAAGGATGGTCAGAGGCCGTCAGTACCCGTGGGGTGTTTTACAAGGTAAATATGAAGAATGTGAGCAGGCTTGGGAATGATTATGGTAAATATACCATGGATGTCACCTTGTCTTCCCAAAAAAGCATTTTAACTTTAACTCATGCTAAGCTGTAAATAGGGGGCAGTGGTTGTTCCTTGGTAGAATTCTTGCCTTCCATGTGGGAGATTCCTGGCCAATGCACCTCATGCACAGGCACCAGCCCTCTGTTAGTGGAGGCTTGGGTGTTGCTATGATGCTGAACAGATTTCAGTAGAGCTTCCAGACTAAGACGGACTAGGAAGAAAGGCCTGATGATCTACTTCTGAAAATCAGCTAATGAAGACCCTATGGATCAGTACAGCCCAAACCTCAACTAAACAGCAATTTTGTCCGTTGTGTATGGGTCACCATGAGTCAGAGACTGGCTCGATGACAACTAGCAACAACAAAAGCTGCAAATTAACAACTACTAATGAGGAGCACAAATTTTGTTTTCATCTGAGTTGATGCTTACTTTGACTAGGATTCACGCTCACAGGAGTTTGCCAGATGCTTTAGGTCAAAATCCACAGAGGCCAGGTAGAACCTCCTAAAAATTATCTCGCTTTGCATGAACGTTGAACAAACGGGAACTTTGAACAAAACTGGCACATAATTTTTAGTGTTTAAACCCCTTGTTGTTAGCTGCCAATGAATCAACCCCCAACTCATGGCTACCCCATACGCAACAGGATCTATGGGGTTTACATTGGTGCATTTTTCAGAAGTAGATCACCTGGCCTTTCTTCCTAGTCTGTTGTAGTCTGAAAGGTCTGCTGAAACCTGTTTAGCATCAAAGCAACACACAAGACTCCAATGAAAGAGAGGTGGTGGCTGCACTTCGGGTGCATTGGCCAGGTACACATACACTAATTAATACATAATTTACAAAGTATTTTTTAACTGACCACGAGAAAAAAGAATGACCAACTATTTCTAAAACAAAGAAATATGATTTACCTTTAACTAAGTATAATTGAAGGAGCCCTGGTGGTGTAGTGGTTAAAGTGCTCAGCTGCTAACTGAACGGTCATCAGTTCAAACCCACCAGTTGCTCCTTGGGAGAAAGATATGGCAGTCTGCTTCCATAGATATTACAGTCTTGGAAACCCTATGGGGCAGTTCTGCTCTGTCCTACTGGGTTGTTATGAGTTGGAATCGACTTGATCGCAATGGGTTTGGTATTTGGTTGGAAGGGTAATAGACATTTACATTATTGACATTTATTTATCTAGCATTATGATGAGCTGGACTATTGTTACAAGCAATAATTTACTGTTTGGTTCATATACTTGTGATGCTCATTATTGGAGAATGAATTCTCTTTAGCTATACTGATTTCTAAATGGTGTTGTTTAAAAAATTAACGTATTAGAATTTTAAATGTATGAAACATTCTTAAAACTTAACATCATTTTTTAATTTAATATTTTTAACACACTTACTTTATATTATGTACCCCAAAATTAATTTCTCTGAAGTTCTTGAAGGAGAGAGTCTAATCCTACGATATGTTTATTTTTCTTTTTAATTGTACTTTAGATGAAGGTTTACAGAATAAACTAGCTTCTCATTAAATAGTTAGTACACATATTATTTTATGACATTGGTTAACAACCCCATGACATGTCAACACTCTCCCTTCTTGACCTTGAGTTCCCTATTACCAGCTTTCCTGTCCCCTCCTGCCTTCTAAAAACTTAACATCATTTTATGAACCATACTTATATAATTTGGTCACAATATATTGTGCTCCTTCTTCTGGATGTGGCAAACACAGGAGAAGGCCATGTGAATTGACTAATTGATTTTGAATATTGCCTACTGAAGTCTCATAAAGATGGTGCTGTATAAATGGAATTTGAGCATGCACAGTTGTAAAATACTTTATATTCACAGAACTTGCTTTGATGAAATTATATTACATACTTTGTTAACAGTCCATGAAATACCTTGAGGGTAGTTTGTGAAATACTAATGAAAGTAAAAAATACTAATGAGGGGAGCAGAGCCAAGATGGCAGACTAGTCAAACGTACTAAACCATCCCTCTGCAACAAAGACCCAAAAAACCAAGCAGAACAGATACAGATGTCAATCCTGGAACCCCAAACTTTAAATGAGGGGATAAAGTATTAGATCAGAAACCACTGAGAAGAAGAAATTGATTGAAAACAGTGAAAGTAGAGATACAGAGTGGAGGTTCCCTGCCAACCGGCACGACACAGTGTGGTCATCTTGGGATAAAGCCAACAAGCCTGCACGAAGAGCATAGAAAGGCACCTTTACAGAATTCCCAATAGGAGATAGAGGAATGGCGCTGACACACTCAGAGCAAGTAAGATCCCATTTGCTGGCTGCAGCTCAAGGAAGTGCCCAGACACTCTCACACAGTAACCAAAGGAGCACGCTCCTACAACCCCACTCTTCCGGTGAATAGTGACAAGAACCACCCCACCACAGAGCCTTGACTGCCAGGGACTACAGTACAAGCCTCCCTACTTCTCCCCCATCTATCCCCTCTCCTCTGCCCCCACTGGTCCACAGCCTAGCAGAACTGGCTCTGTACCACCCCTTCCCCACTGGCTCTGCCTGCTGCACCAAAGCCAAGTGGAACCAGCCCCACGCCACCCACTACCTGCTGGCTCTGTCCTGCTGCACCACAGATGAATGACCTGCCTCCAAGCCCCTCCCCCCATCAGACCCACCCCACTGTGCCATAACTGAGCAACCATCCCTGCCCATCTGGACAAGGTGGTGATAGTTATCATGCCTACAGATGACAAACAACAAAGCATGCCCAGCCAACCCGCCCAGACATATCAAAACAAAACAAAAAAACAGGACAAAACAAAGTTACAATCAGTGAATAAAGAAAATAATACCTGAATGTTTCAGAGACAGCAGACAATATCAAAACATATAAAAAAGCAGGACATGATGGCTCCAGCAAGTGACCAAAATAAAACATTAAATGATCTTCCAGTAGAAGAAGAGGCACTGGAACTACCTGATAGGGAATTCAAAAGTCTAATATTCAGGGCTCACCAGGAGATTAGGAAAGAGATCAAGGAAAATACAGGCAAAACTAAGGAAAAAATAGACAAAAAAAAATGGAAAATGCAGACAAAACCAACAAAAACATAGTCATGGTCAACGAAAACACAGACAAAACAATAGAAAAATTGAGGAAAATAATACAAGAACAAAACATCAAAATAAATAAGCAATTAGAAATCATACAGAAACAGCAATTAGAAATCCAAAAGATAAACAACAAGATTTCAGAAATGGACAACACAATAGAAGGTTTTAGGAGCAAATTTGAAACAATGGAAGACAGAATCAGCTAAATTGAAGACAAATCCATTGACGCCACTTTGAGGAAAAACTGGACAAAAGAATGAAGAACACCTAAGAGTTATGTGGGATGCAATCAAGAGCAAAAGTGTGTGCATGATTAGAGTTCCAGAACAGAGGGAGAAAGTGGAAAACACAGAGAGGATTGTTGAAGATTTGTTGGGAGAAAACTTACCTGATATCATGAAAGACAAAAAGCAAAAAGCTCAAAAGAAAGTCACCAAGACATATCATAATCACATTTGCCAAAATCAAAGACAAAGAAAGAATCCTGAGGGCAACCCTAGAAAAATGAAAAGTGACTTGCAAAGTGGAAACAATAAGATTAAGCTCTGATTACTCAGCAGAAACTATGCAGACAAAAAGGCAGTGGGATGACACATATAAAACCTTGAAAGAAAAAAATTGCCAACCAAGGATAATATATCCTGCAAAACTCTCTCTCAAATATGATGGTGGTAAAATAAGAGCCGTCACACGAATAGACATATGCACACCCATGTTCATGGCAGCATTGTTCACAATAGCAAAAAGATGGAAACAACCTAGATGCCCATCAACAGATGAATGGATAA